GGGCATGTTGCAAGGAGGAACTGGGCCTTGGAGAGGGACATCATGTTTGGGAGATTGGAGGGACGGCACAGGAGAGGAAGACTTTCGATGAGATGGATCAATTCTGTGATTGGAGTGGTGGGAATGAGTCTGTCAGAGACAGCGAGGTTGGCACAGGATAGAACAGCATTTATGAGTCTCAAGCGATTCAACGCATATAACAACAACAACACTTTATATATAATACATAAGTATATTATTCTCTATCTATCTCTATCTCTACTATATCTATCCCTATCTCTGTCTCTATCTCTATCTCTATCTCTATCTCTATCTCTATCTCTATCTCTATCTCTATCTCTATCTCTCTCCATTAAGGTAGACAGCATGGCACTGGAGACCAGTTTGAAAATCATCTACTGGCGCTGGTTCTACAGAAGCTTTTGGCTGGAATGGGTGAGCTGTAGGGCGGAATGTTGATTCACTAAGGGAAGTGAGGCATTTGTGATAAGCCCTACTTAAAAATCCATTCCTCTATGTGGTATAGATGTGGTCTTTGCATTGTTGTACAGAGGTAACTTGTGGTTGCTCTGATGCTAAATACTGTGACACTGATGTGCCAAATGTGCAATAATAGTTACCCATAGTGGACAGTGTTTGGTGGGGCTTGCCGATTAAAACAACCTTGGAAGCAGGAATGGCTTCCACTTCTGAAATGGCTTGCCTCCAAATTCTATGTACACGTCTTTTGTTCATAGGGTCATTATGAGTCGTCCATGGCATTTACCTATAGGATACAGTTTATGAGACAAAAGGACAACAAATAATTTTTAAACTTTATTTAGTAAAGATTCTTTGTCGTAATGTTGATATTATAACTGTGAAATTTATGTATCTACTGATGAATTATTTAATTATTCATACATGTATAAAATCAATACGAGCTTAATGCCATTAGCAATCAACGTTTTCACACAAAAGAAATTATACATGAATGTAAAACAGTCCAAGGTAATTACCATCTCTGAAATATTAATTTTTACTTGAAAACAGATCACTAAGTCATTTCCCTCAAGAATACATTAATTTTCCATCTCATCACCTAAAAATAATAAAAATTCAATAAAAAGGACATGTAGTGCCAAGATTGCTATCACTACATAGAATTTCCTACTAGAGCAACCAGACTCCTTAGAGACACAAATGAATTTAGGAATGCATCAAGAAATGGATTAAATGAATCACAACTTTTAAAATCATAAGTGAGAAAGCTACAAAAACCTAACAGAGTTTTTGTCAAATGGATACTAAAAGAAACTTAATAACTTCCATTTGATTGACTAAAAGGGAAATATCTGAGCCTTACATCATAATCTGTTCTACAACATACTATATATTTATGTTATTGCACTAAATATATATTAAACTACTATACTACTTTACCTCTATCCTTTGAAATATGATGATGCCCTTCTCCAAGGCCTGAGCGATTCTGGCCACATGCTCAAATTATGTGAGACAGAGCTTAAATATCCTTGCCTCTAAGGAGATAATCGGTTTCACCCTTTCTAAAACATCATGCTTCGAAGGGTGGAGGGACAGCACAGGAGAGGAAGACCCTGGATGAGATGGATTGACACATTAAATTGGGTCAATGGGGTAGGTGTGTCAGTGTCAGTAAGACTGACTCAGAACAGAACTGGGTTCAGAGTTTTTGTACATATGGTCACTGTGAGTAGCAGGTGACTCGATGGCACATAACAGCAATAATAAAGCATACTACTACTGTTGAATTATATATATATAACAACACACAGGTATGTATATTAGTTTCTATATTCAATGGATTGAATATAGAAATAATTTGAACAGTAAGAAGACAATCACCACTGAGCCAATTGGCAGCAACATGATAGAAGGAGAAGGAAAAGAGATTGAAATTGTTAACAGTTATAGTTTGCTCGGCTCCATGATCAACACTCTTGGCACTAGCAGTAAGGGAATCGAAAGACAAATTGCATTGGAGAAAGCTGCTTTCAGGGATCTCGCCAGAGAGTTGAAAAGCAACGATGTCAGTGTAGAAAGCAAGGTGTGCTTAATCTAGGCCATAGCCTTTGCAATTACTTGCTATGCATCAGAGAGTTTGGCTGACAGAAGAAGAATCAATGCCTTCTAATACCAGTGAGAGAGAAGAATCTTGAATATGCTGTGGACTGCCAAGAAAACAAATAGGTCTGTCTTGGAGAGGGAGAAACAAAGTTTTTCCTTGGAGACTAGGATTTTGAAGTTCCATTTTATACATTTTGGGCATGTGGCCAGGAGAGAATGGTGCTTGGAAAAGGATATCATGCTCAGAAGGGTGGAGGAACAGCACAGGAGAAGATCTCCAAAAAAATACAGCAACCGGGGCAATGGGTTGGTGTGCTGGAATTAGTGAGACTGGCTCAGGATAGGTCTGTGTTCAGAGCTGCTGTACATAGGGTTGCTATGGGTCGCGGGTGACTCAACGGCGCACAACAAAGCCTATTCAATTACTGCATCACATAGCATATAAATGTATGAATATTACTTCAACACATATATTATATATGTATTGTTGCTGTTTACCATCTGGTGGGAACTCACCCATAGCAGACCGGCTGGCGGGTTTTCAGAGGTAGTTAATCCCAGGGGAGGAGATCTCCCATCCTTCTCCTGCTGAGCAGCTGGTAGCCCGAAACTGTGTGCCTTTGGGATTGGAGTGCAGCTTATTTCCACTAGCCCACCAGAGATCCCTAATTCTATATTGATACACACACACACACACACACACACACATATGCAGGAGTGGCATCCACTTTCTAAACAACATGCCTCTGGAACTCTGTGAACTCGGGAAACTTTGAGAAATTATTCAGGTCTTTTATTCATAGGGTCACCATGAGTCTTGTTCAACTTTACAGCAATCAACAACAAGAGCAACTCTGTGTGTGTGTGTGTGTGTGTGTGTGTGTGTGTGTGTGTGTTTGTATGTGTGTGTGTGGTGCGTGTATACCTTTACAAATAGAAGAACCTTTATTTCAGAGGAAGATAACATTTTTATTATATGCGACATAAAAGAAACCAGACCTCTACTTTAGAGGTAGATGTCATCTTAGTCTTCTGAATCTGTTTCTTCCAAAATATTGTTCAAACCATTCTGGAACAAAGGTTACAAGTTCTGCTATAAAGCAGACATGTATGATGATTTTTCTCTCAGAAACAAATGCAAAAGTAATAAAGGGTTCTAAAGACAATATTTTATAAATGTTAGTAGGATAATATATCTTAAAAAAGCTATCAGTAAATTAGATCATCTAAAAGATTAAAGGAAAATATAATGAGGAGCTTATAGTAGTTTAGACTGACATCCTCTAAATCTGTTGACAAATGTTAGAAACATTTACAACAAAATGAAAAAGAAAGTTAAGGGAAAAATCCAGTACCCACACACAGATGTGAGGGAGCACACATATGTGTCTGTGTGTGTTTCTATATATAAACTTCCCAGATATTATAATTGTAATCTAGACAGAGATTGTGAGGATGGTACAGGATAGGATAGGAATCAGCTTTATCGTTTATAGGGTCATTTTAAGCCATATTTGATTTGACAGTGTATCTAACACTAACAATAGATACATAAAATCTCTAGTGGACCAATGAGTAAGGAATTTTGCTACCAACCTATAACCAAGGGTTTGAATTAACCAGCTACTCAAAAAAAAAAAAAAAAGAAGGACAAGCAAATCTCCTGAGTAAGGACAGCCTCTGGAAACTCGTTGACTATGAATTTGCTCAGAATTATGGCACATAACTTAGCCAACTACATATGTGCATATCTGTATGCTTACACATATAAGTTGTAGTTACTGTTATGTGCAATTGACTCATCTGAAAATCAAAACAATCTGATGTACAGCAGTTCTGAAGATGGATCTATCCTGAGCCAGTTTCATGGATTCCGACAAACTTACTGGGTCAGTCCATCGCATCCAGAGTCTTCCTATTCTCTATTGTCATTCCAACCTTTTGAGCATAATGTTCTTCTCCAAGGACTGGTGCCTTGTAGCCACGTGCTCAAAGTATGTTTAGACAGAGGTCAGAGTTTCAAAAATCCTAGCCTCCAAGGATAAACTTGAGCTTTACCCTCTCTAAGAAAAAAAAAATATATATGCACACAAATACAAAAGTGTATATATATACACACATATATGAGTATATGTATGTATATGTATATATATCAAAGTGTACA